CGCCGGTCGGGCTTCGCCCGGCCGTGCCCTCTGGCGGCGGCGAGGGAGGAGGGAGGAGGAGGGGAGGTGCGCGGCGAGCGGATCTGGGGGCCCTCGCCGGCCGCCTCGCGGGTGGCGGCGCGGGGAGGGAAACCTAGCGTCCCTATTGCCTCCGTCCAAGCATTCGGTTGCTATTTTGCATCGTCGCGTGTGTTTCCATATCATTAAAATTGTGCCTTTATCACGATATGTTTTCGGAAAAAAAAGTTCCATCTCCCATGCAGGTTATCAATGTATGTTCGCCTGCAGAGGCCGGAGGACAAGAATTTTTTGATGATGGCGCATGTTTGGCTAGCGCATATATCATGGAGAGTTTTTTTTCATCATGGATGGGCGTGCAATTTCGAATACGACCTTGTCCTTCTAACTTGTTTTTTTGGCACTTTTTTGGTTAAAAAATGTTTTTTATGGACGTATTGGATGTCAGGATGTGTCCATCATCTTATACAGAGGCCAGACATTCGCTCAATGCAGTTGCAAAGTTTGATATATCGATTGAATAAAATTAATTTCTTTAAAAAAAATCAGTTGTATCTTCTTTGGCACGGAAGCTTGCATTAGTGTGGCTTAGGAGGAGGTTTAGGTGTGAACTTGGGCAGGAAGAGTGTGGAGTCCGAATGTTAGACCATTCGTCCTGCAGCAATTCCATTCCAGTCTCCACTAATGCGAGATGCTGATAACAACGTGAAAATTTGTGGGGTTGTTTTGTTGTCTACAAGAGTGAAAATTGATCATCGTCTCTCCTCTCATGATAAAATGTTGAAACTTGTCCCTCACTCCATCCATGCACGTCCATCCACTTCTGGTCCTTCGTTTTTCACACGTTTCCCTCCAGGACCAGCTAGGTTGGCGACAACCTAGAGCTGCAGAGATGCCCAACGAGCTAGCTTGGCTCTTCACTTTCCCGTTACCCGTTTCAAACGCAAATGGAAGTGGTGGTTTGCATTGGCCGGCACCTGATGCTGCCTCGGTTTGCCTAATCAATCAACATTACTTCGTCCACTGCACAACCTCAGGATGATCGAGTGGATGAAAGACATAACTCATGGAGCAGACTAATGATTGTTTTGAGCGATATGGCTTGAAAATAATACATTGTAAATTCGTAATCATATTTATTGAACACTTTCAATTGTTGGTCTAAGTTGAACATACATACATACATACTCTAACTTCCCGGCAAAAAAGAAAAAAACATACATACTCTAACTTCGGTATTGTAGTGTGCGTTAGTGCAAACTGAAGTGTATGAGAAGATTTCCCACACATGTGCGGAACGTTGTATTCCAAAGAATATGTAGTATGTAATACAAAAGATAAGGTTGCCAGCTATACAATAGAACCGAATAGATCGATGTATTCTGAAAATCATATAGAATCATCGGAGATAATACGCTAAGCATGCAAGAATATATGCTATCCTAACATGTGTTGGCGTCGATATGACATGAAAATGATACACCGCATTCATTTTTATAGACACTTCAAAATATATCACATTTTTTATCTTATAGTAACTAACTAACCGCTAGTTCAATTATTGCTCTAAGTTGAACATTGATGTTTTTCGATGTTGCTCTTTGAGCCTGACAACCATAGTATCGCATCGATCAAGTTGCTTCTCCTCGCTTTTGAGATCCTTTCGGGGCTGAAAATAAACTTCGTAAAAAGTGAGGTGATCACCATGGGGATGGGACACCAAGAGAGCAGGAGTGTTGCAAACCTACTTAATTGCAAGGGCTTTCCGATTAAGTACCTTGGCCTTCCGATCTCTCACCGGAAATTATCTATTTCCGAGTGGGAGCCATTGTATGGTAAGGTGGCGAATAGGGTTAGCCCGTGGCGAGGGAGGTTTGTGTCGGCGGCGGCTAGGTTGATTCTTACTAACTATAGTCTCTCCTCTCTCCCACTGTTCACTATGGGAATGTTTCTACTG